TGCCATTAGGCTCACTAGGACAGAAATGGGAACGTCGGGATACATTAATAAGTTAATCTAATGGCATTTAACCACATGCCATACGACTTGATACTGTAAAGTACACTTGAAAAGGGCGAAAACCCAGGGCCGAAACGTTGTGTGACAATAAAAGATATTTTTCCTGTAGCCAGTTGTGTCGAATTACTCAACCTAATTGTTAATTAATCACTGGCAATTTAATTATTCCAAACTGTGCTATTGTAATTTAAATAATTTTCACAGAGCATGACATTTATGTACGTGCATTGTTATACTAACAATAAGTAACGTACAATTGAACCTCTATGCAACAAAATTGTTTATTTGAGGAAAACAAAGCTGTTTTGCATAATGTGAGTCTTACCAGTGGGTTTTGCGCTACTTCATCCTGAAACGTGGGAGTCCCTTAAAATAAGATTTCATTAAAAAAATGTTTTTAACTTTGAATATATCTTACATTAATATTTTGAATGTTTCAATAGAAGTATTATTATTCCATCTTTCAAATTGCGGCTTTTGGTTCTTATTGATCAGCTGTTTTTAGCCTTACACTGTCTTAGAACTTGCAACGAGCGCTTTACTTTAATCTCAATGTTACATCTTTCCTTATCTTGTTACTTTATTTCAATTTCGATTTTATCGTTAAACTCAATTTCGGCCAAAGTGTCGCCTGTTCCTTTCCCGTTCTCACTGGGGCTCAGTTAATTTTAGTTGTACCACCTATATTTTTCAAAATTAAACAAATTACGTTTCCACGTTAACGTGTGTTGAACGTAATCAGCTAAACACTTAAATGTAAAAAGTGTTCCCTCCGACGCTCGGAGGCGATTCGCGAGCGAGAGGGCGAGTGTAACTGCGACGCGGAGGAACGCCTCGCGAGAAATTCCCTCTCGGAAATGCAAGTGCAGTAGTTTTCACTCGTGATATAAAACGTAGCTAAGAGACGTTGCGGAGGGCAAAAACCCGGGCACGGCGGAAAACCGTCGTCAGCTGATTCGACGTTTCCTTGCGCGATCGTAACCGTGCCTGTACCTTCAGGAAGCTGGGCTGGCGGCAGGGACTTCAATCGGTAACCGGGGCGCTCTCGTTGGCCTTCTTCCTGGGGCTGATTTACCGGAGCGCCTCGCTGTACCACCCTCAGCGGCGAGCCATGCTGCACCTGAAGAATCAGCGCGGCAAAGTCAAAGAGAAGAAATCCGCGTCGAAGGTACCGAAGCAGCCGCTGGTCGACCTGAGTCCTCTGGGATCGCGTCCTGTAAGAATGCTCATGCTGGCCGCCGGTGCTGCCGCTTTCGGTCTTTACACCCCCGCCTTCTATATCGTAAGTGCACTCAGTGATTGAGAGGGGTTTCCCTCTTTGATAACGCGCCTGCCGGCCCTCCTCATATCCCCGGAGACTTGGCGTGGCGGAGAGTCGCGACAAGTTTATTTCGCACTCCGCGTTACCAATTTGCCTTTCGACGCGCCCTCAAAAATTCCTTCTTCCGTACAAATAAGGGTAACCCACCCAGCGAGAAACGACTCGTCGAGTCGACATCGTTTCGACATCGATCGACGAGTCCTTTCTCCCTGGGAGCTTGAAGAGGAAGAATTACACCGATACTCTCTTTGATATCGGATCGTACAGACAAATCGCCACGGCCATTTCATTTCGGTCGGCGAAAGAGCGCGCTCGCCGAATATGCGCCGAAACGGTCGCGCGGGCGATTTCGTGATAGCACGTGGCGTTTCGGCGGAGAGTTTAATGACGCAGAAATCGAGCGAGCGTCGAGTTTCCTAATTTCGCGATTTCCGGGGGGTAATCTCGGGGGATAGACGGGGCCAATTTCGATAATCGATATTAGACGGGCGTCGTTACCGGCGTCATTGTCCGCGTTATCGCGGCGATCCGTATAGCGCGTTCTTTCCCCGCAGCCTTAATGAGAAGACATCACTTACAGGCTCTGCAAGGCTACCAGGACGGATTGGAGGCCAGCGCCCTGGTACTGCTGCAGACCTTTCTGGGCCTGGCGGCGGCACTCGGATGCGCGGCTTTGGGGGTAGTTATCGTCAGACCTTCCGCTCAGTGCCTAGTGTCCAGGCAATATCTCTGTCAGGCGGCGCTCATTGGGGTTGGTCAGTACACCTCGCGGTCGCTTTCGCATACATGCCCGCAGTTGACCGTAAACAAGCTCAAATTGCTAGATGTTCGCGTCCCCCCGTCCCCGCGTTGTGATAACGATCTAAAGCTCTTTTGCGGCTTTTTGCAGAACGGCAGTCTCGTTCCCGTACACTTTTAGCGTTTACACGGGACATATCCCGCTTCCGCTGTAGACTCTTTACCTCGCGATTATGTCGTAACGTGAAGGAGCGATTCGTATCTCGATAGTTAAATCGATCATTTCTCGCTGCGGAGCCCCGCAATAAAGCTCTCTTTGGAATGAAAATTGAACCCGGCGAACTTGTGGAGGCACGTCCCGTCGTGCGCGAGAAACGGGTCGATTTGACATTCGTAATCGAGTTTGCGCTGCACGCGAAAGTCTTTACGGGAATTACGCGCGGTGGAAAATATACAAGCCGGAAGATCGTGTGCCGCATGAATTTCGCGCGCGAACGATCTAGGAATTGTAGATTCGGGGATCACGCCTCAAGGATTATCGATTCGAATCAGGTTTCCCCTCTGCTTAAAGCCGTAGCTCAAGTGGCGCTTGGTAGCGTGCAGGGCTATCACGGACTCGTGCTGGCCTCCGCGCTTTACGGCGCCTCGCTCGGCGGCACGCTCTACTCCCTGAAGATGCTCGCCCTGGAGAGGCTGCGCGCGAGACACTTCGCCAGATCGTGGGCTTTGGTGCAAGCCGCGGAAGCCCTGCCCATCCTTCTCGGAGTTCCTCTCACAGGTACGCGCGGAAAATGCGAAATTTTAGGCTCCCAGCGAAGGTCTCCTCGGGTCGTCCTTGATTTATCTCGAGGATCATTACGAGGAGTCACGTAAAAACGACCTTTTTACTTCTCATCGGGACGCAAACTTATCCTGGTTCAAGGGTCTATATACTTACATGCGTAAAATAAGGTATCTGCCTCTGTGAAAGCCGTCGTGACGGAGTTGAAAGAGGAAGATCGCACACTTGTACGCGGGGAGAATCGCTTAAAACTTATCCTGAAAATCGTGGGACAACCATGGCATTTTTATACAACTTTTACCATTTCACCAGTAGAATGTATGGTAAAATTAAAAAAAAAACCCTCACCCAGCTCTTCCCAAGATTACATGATTTTCAGGACTTGAAAGAAAATTCTCTCCATGTACTATTTACTTTCTTTCGATCTCTCTCTCTCTCTCTCTCTCTCTCTCTCTCTTTTTTTCCTCGCGTAACACGAGACGAATTTTTGCGTTTAGTTGGCGGCAGATATTATACAAAGTAACCAGAGCCATTATACGCTCTCTACATAATATCTCGATAAAGACCCGCCGGCTCTGCGCCGTATCTATTATAAAGCGCGTAGTTACTTGCTCCTAAACGCAGATTCTTCATGCTTTCAAACGTCCGTACAACAGTATTAGAACTCCAGAACCGCCGAGGTGGGCGAAATCCGCTCTTCCGCAAGCTAAATCCGTCCCTACTAATGGTCTTACGGTCCCTGTGTATGAATTTAATGCCGGCGTCCTTAATAATAATAACGTGCGAGGCTTGGGGGAAATACGCTTCTCTGGCCTCCTCTTCTGCTGAGAGAGAATATTCAAGGAAGCATGACAACTGTCACGCAGATTCGTAAGACTCGAGGCGTACCGTACAAGTAGAGCTAGTTTTGGTCACTTTGAGCAGCTTAATTCAGTCGCTGGAATTTCATCGATTCGTAATTTCGAAATTTCCCCGCCACCGCCACAGTATTGTCTACGCGAAATTTTACGTTAGATTTAAAAATAAAGACAATCGACCGGCGTACAAGCGTTTAATGGGGGGGGGGGGGATCGAAGTCTGTTGCGAGTTAAAGAAAATCGAAGTTGCCTCTTCTTGTAAAAGATATATCGTTACCAATAGCTCCGAATCTTTCCATTGATGAGATTAGATCGCTTTGAAAAAGAAAATTTCTTGCGAAAAGTATTACCTCAGCCAGGGTTTAAACCTGGACCTTACTCCCTAGGCGGGCGTCTCACCAATTCGACCACTGTACATGCCCGCCTAGAGAGTAGGGAGGTCCAGGTTCAAACCCTGGCTGAGGTAATAGAATTAGAATTAGCTTCATTGTTCCCCTTAGGGCTACAATCTTCTTACATTCTTACTTATGCCGAAACTTATTCTAACTTGGCTGAGGTAATATTTCTCGCAATAAATTTTCTGCGTTAAAGCCCTCGGCCGGTTAATGTCGACTGAAAAGCTGGATTATTGTTATTTATTACTGGCAACTTGAAGAGATTTCTGTGTTGGTCTTTTGAAAATGCCACTATCGCAAGATTTCCAGCAATTCTCAATGATTGCTCCGCCGCGCGGTATATTTAAAAGAACGGGGACGATGAAAGAGACTCTCCGTTAAATCGTAGCGTATACCAATTACATTTCACACAGATTCCCTCCCCAAGTTATTAAAAATCCTTCCCGGCGAAATGAAGTCTTACCCATCCCAAGTTCTGTTCCTGCGAGACGAGACCAAGACCCCCGGATCGCCTCCGCCTTCCGTCCGGCTAACCAAGCCCCCAGAGTCGTTGCCTCCTTGGGGAAGCATAGACTGTACACAGAGCGCTTTAATCGCACTTCGTCCTCCCCACAGGTTACATGAACGCGAGCAGCCCGCGGGTGGGTTACTACGCGTGCACGCTGAGTTCCTTGTGCGGCGCGGCGCTTCTCTTCCTGGTCGGCTGGGGACGGCAGCCGGCGTCGCAGATTCTGCCGGGGCCGCATCTCTCGAGCCTCGGCATCGTGCCGCCGCCCCCGCCGTGCGTGTGCCCGCCGCCGCCGCGGCCCCGGCTGCCCAAGTCGCAGTCCCTCCACGTGCCGCTGGACGTCGAGGATCACATCGGCATGCGCGAGCGCGACTTCGTCGAGCGGGTGCACGACCACCCGATCGTCGACCACTACTGCCATCCGCAGTTCCACGTGCCGTTGAGGCCCAGCAAGAGCGTGCCGGAGGGTCTCGGCCAGCAGGACCCGTACCGGACTCGGCCGCGACGCCACCGCGACATCACCGTCATAGAGCAGATCACCACCAGCGTGTAAGGCGACGGGGATGGCTCGACCGACCCTGTCGGCGCGCGTCATTAGGCTAATGGGCACCAGAGAGTTCGGCAACGTTCTTTTACCCTAGGATTTTTTAATTTCGCATTTGTCCCGGCATGATGTATGGATGAATCGTGACTTTTGTCTCGGTAAAGAAAAGGGTTGGAAGGATTGAAATCTGCTGAGAGAGTAAACCTCCCACTTGGACCCGGTTGCACCAACGTCGGTTGACCTGAACCTTAGCTTAATTCACCCTTCGTCTCTTTCGGAGAAAAACAATTGGAAAGAGACGAAGAGTGAATTAAGCCGAAGTTAAAATTCCGTGATGTTGGTGCAACCCGGCCTTAGTGGTTTATCCTAGTAGCCAGATGGAGTAAACCTTCCACTTAGGCCCGGTTTTTCATTTTCTGGTTAAATGTTAACCAGAAGTTAGTCGTTTACCTGTGTCTTCCCTGGTAGCCAGCTGACGTCACTTCCCTGCTGAAAATACCCGATTCAAACCGATAGATATCGCATTGATTTCTATAAAAATTAATCGGTTTCAATTCGATATCAATCGGGCCAATCGGGCACCGGATTGATGGAAATGCAAGATCAATCGGATTCAATCCGTAATCTGATTCAATCCGGTATTTCCAGATAGAATTAAAGCAGTAACAATCGGTTTCTATCGGATTTTCTTTTTAATACAATTTTTCCGGATTGACTTGAATCCGCGCCAATCGGTTCCAATCGGCGAATTTGTATCTGAATTGTCTATTGTTTTTAATACAACTTTTCCGGATTGACTTGAATCCGCGCCAATCGGTTCCAATCGGCGAACTTTTATCACGGGTTGAAACCGATAGACGCGGATCAAAATCTATCTGGAAATTCCTGATTGAACACGATTCAAATCTGACCCTATCCGCGTCAATCGGTATTTTCCGCATCAAGAATCCAGATTCATGCGGATTCAAAATTTTCAATCGGTTTTAATCGGGTATTTTCAACAGGGTTGTCTTTATTTTAACGTCGAAATGTCATCAGAAGTGTCATTTTGACGTGAAAATGATAAGTTACGTTAGCTGGCTATCTGGGTTCTTGGATAATAATATAGAAAAAGGTAGAGAGTCAATTAACCTCTGGTTAACAGTTACCCAGAAAATGAAAAACTGGGCCTTAGTGGTTTATCCTAGTAGCCATTGTTTGCGCCCAAAATGGACTTCAAGAAAAAGAATTGATTGAATTAGCGACGTCGCAAGCGCAACTCCGTCAAGCGTCGTACTTTACTTGACTACGGGGTGCCACTGAACGGTATCCCAGGAAAGCTTTCGGAGACATTCCGAAGAATACGCGGACACTAACGTTCCTCCTTTCTTCCTTTCTTCCTTCCGTTCGCCTTTCTTTAAAAATAGGTTTCCTCTATTCATGTCTCACCTTCCCCGAACTATTTCTGCTATTCCTCTTTCCTACGTTCTGTCTCCTGGAGCTTCCTTAGGACACTGTTCAGTAACATCCACGCTACAGTCAACTTGATGAAGCGCTGGTCGGTGTCGCTGATTGAATCATTTTTTTTCTCAAGATCCACTTTGGACACAATGGACGAAAGTGTGTACTAGGCGGTACTTTACTATTTCAAATGAGCAGCTTTTAATCCTTTTAACCGGTATCTTTACAGAAATAAGAGCAATGATTCGTCCACACGTCTTGCTGGGACAACTTAACAGTATCGTTGCGGTAACGGCGACACAGCAGGGAAGATGAAACGCGCTATCGCGTTTCATCGAGCGGTTATATTGATTTCAGAACTTGTACCAAAGGTTCAGGAAGCTACTGTAAAAGCTTTTACCTCCTTGTCCTTCTCACACTTCGGAAGTCATGTCGGAAAAGAGCGGCGTGTATCGCGTTTCTCTTTGTAACTTACGTCGCGTTTTGTTATTACAACGCTATCCGCTGACTTACCTGCCCTCCCCTTCGCGCCCGTCGCGTAAGTATAATTTGCCGGAGAATTTAGGGTGGCTCGCTCGAAGGAAGGTTGGGGACCATTAGCGTAAAAGCCGGCGCGCAGTTGCGAGCATAAGCGGAAAGTAAAATAGTAGCTGTGAAAAAGGAAATAATTGCGCGCGTCGTAGGCGTCGCGCAAGTTGGCTACACACGCGATCGTAAATCAAGGACGGGAACGACAATGACTATTGGAGCTCCTCGGAAACAACCCCGCTAGGTTGCTTCACTAGCTGCTAGGCGATCGAATATTGAATGGAATTAGTTAGTAAAAATCTGTATCGAATAGACGCGAATCGAATGTGTATCGCGCGCGTATTAAGAAAGTACTTATTCGTGTTGATGCGCTTGTTTCAAGTATTAGGGGCAGGTTGTTTCAACCCCTTAGGCCCGGTTTCACCAAACGTCGCTTAACTTTAATCTCAGTTTAGTTCATGTCTGTCTCTTTCTAAAGTAACAGTTGGAAAGAGACAAAGAACGAATTAAGCTAAGCTTGAAGTTAAACAACGTTGGTGAAACCGGGCCTTAGGGCGGTTAGAAGGTTAATTGATTCTCCGTCTCTTCTTAAATAATAAGACGGAAGAAGATAGGGAGTCGACTGAACTCTGGTTAACCTACGTTTGTGAAACTGGCCCTTGTGTCCGCTTCTACCAACGCAGATGAACTTCAATCTCGGTTCAAGACACACTTAATATCTTTTTCTAGTTTTACAAATTAGACACAGATAAGAAGTAATTTAAGCTGAGATTAAAATTAACCTGCAGTGGTAGAAACGATCAGCAGTAACTAATAGTTAAATCATATGTCTTTGTTTCTCCTTTAAATTAAAAAAAAGATAGATATATAATTTAACTATTACCCACACAGCAAAAAATGTCACCAAGGTATCGGGGAGATATTTAAATATTAAGATATCTGATACAGAAAGCTATTCGGATATCGCTTGGATGTCTGAGAGGTGTCTTCCAGATTCTAAAAAGTCATGATTATTTCATCTGAGATATTACATCTGATTTTATGTCAAATATTAGATGCCTACATTTTTGTGAAATCGGATTTGACGTATTACGGAATAGGCAATGCGATAAACAAAATATATATTTTTCTTTATCAGTTCCGGCATAAGTTATTAAAGAACACGCCCATAAATCAGCCTTTACTTTTTTTATACTATTATTGTAAATTCGTATTTATCTTTTTAATTTTTTATCACACTAATCCTCTTTTTACTAGATAGGTTTAAAGAGCTTATTTTGAGGAATAGTTAAATAATACACAATTATTTAAAAAACGAAACAAATGAGACAAAAATAAAACTGGAAAAAACTTTTTTCAAGAGATATCAGAAATGTGACATTTTTTTAATATTCAAGATATATCATCTACGAGATATCTCAAAATATGGCCGGTGAAACGGTAACTGATTACAGTCTCAGATATATTTTGCCGTGTGGGTAGCTTTAGCTTAGTAACAGAAGTTGGAAAAACCGGCCCTAACTGTCGAGGAAACGACCGTCCGCTGGCTGGATGCATTCGACGGCGAGGTCGCTCGCGGCCGGGGGAAGCGATCGTTCTCGCGGCGAGTCGTAATCGAAAATTCCCTCTTCTCCTTGAAGAAAATTTCATCGAGAAATATTATTCCTGTTCTTCTTAGAATAACGCGAATGACGATTACAGACGGCGAAAGAACGATCGAGTGGCTTCATTTCATTTATAAATACACCTTTCCGTTCGGCTCTTCACGCGCGGGTCGTCGTCATCTACATGCCGCGACGGATGTAGAACGGCGAATAGTTTTGAATGCATTATTCTCAAACGGGCATCACCTCCTTGGCCCTCGGGCACCCGCGATTATTTGCATTTCGAACGAGGCGAATTGACGAATCGAGCTCGACCCGAGTTCGCGGGCATCGCGTCGTCCGTTTCCACCTTGACGTTGACTGTCCGATTAGCCGGCTGCGCGAACCTTTCGAACCGATATCTTCCCCGTCGTATGGAATTTCGACGTAGCATTTATTTATATACACATGTACGCGTACACATGTAAATTGTGATTAAAAGCAGACGCGTCGTTTCTCGATAGCGAGATGGAGATATATGTATGTACGAGCGCACGGAGCTGGTCTCCGGAAACGCCCCGCCGCAGGTATCGTTGAATATTAATAGGTATAAAACATCGCGCGGACGCCTTTCGAGCGAGCGTAAAACGGTCCCGTGGTCGGACGCATGCGAGAGGATCCCTGCGAGATAAATAGATTAGGGCGAACCGCGACCGACCTTGCGAGGCCGCCGACTTCTCTCGTTTCGTTCAATTGAACACTGGGACACTTCGCGACTGTGAAATTCCTTCATGCTACAGATTTCTGTCTAGGAGCCTACCCGTGCACAGATTCTCGTACAGAATTAAAATACGTTAAACAGCCGGGCTCTTCTCACTCCTCGTGTCTCCGCAATTCGTATTCGCTGTAAAAGGAACACGTTTACGTAAACGTGTTATCGCAATGACTTAGCTGTGTACTATCACGAAGTGTCGGCTCTATTCCTATCAGCGTGTAAGGCTAATTATAATCCCGAATCACCTTACGGTAACATAATTAGTACCTGAATATTAAGTGCTCTCGGTATCTAATGACGTGAGCGACGATGCTAGACGGTAACTTGAGTATTCCTACTTTCTCGTATAACACGTACCTTGCTGTATGTCGAAATTAATTACACACGATACGAGCCGTCGTGCCGTCTCCTCGCCGCAGTTAATTTTGATCGATGAGAAACGTAGAAAGTATCGCGAAGGTATTTGCCGACTTGTAAGAAAGTAGTAACGTAGATTATACACATAGAACTCGTAGTTGAATTTGTCATAGTTTGGGCAATGTTATTACGTAAGGAAGTCTACAGAGAATAGAATTTCCTATATATATATACATATACAATGAAATCCAATTAAATTAATACGCACTGCCGTATTGATTCAATCTCTGGAAAGTGGAACAATCTCCGATTCGTGAAACGAACGATTTTCAATTCGTGTGACGTCTCGTTTGGGAATCAGAGTCAATCAGAACGTATCCTCTTCGGCTTATAACGTTTCCTTTTTCTCTTTTTACACATTCCCGTTTTGGTCTCCGCGTATGTGGGTCGCGATTTTTTCTTCCGAGTTGGCTAAGTGATATAAATTAGGAAGTTAAAGCTGTTAGAGCGGGGGCGCACGATGTACGGGGCCAGAGTCAGGCTCCCCAGGCGTAATTTATAGCATTTAACGGTCACATAGATGAAGAATCTTTCGTCATTTTCATTCCTGAAATCTGAACAGCTGCCGCAATTCCTCTATTAAAATTGTATTACACACTGAAAAAGACATTTCGCTACCACAGCTAATCATGATTTGCTACAAATATATTTTGCTGCCGTAACTATACATTTCTAAACCACAGCGAACGGTTTGCTGTCGCACCTAATACAATAGGCACAGTAGCAAAGTATTAGCTATCACAACTAAGTATTAGCTGTCCATATTTCACAACTGCAATTTAGTTACCACGTGTAGTTTTTAGCTACAGCAGCTACATTTCTTTCTGTGCGTTACCATTATTGAAAATAACGCGGACATTTTAGGATGTGGACACTGTTCGTGCTACAGTTCGCCGCACGGATAGAATTTGAAACGTGCGCCCCTGCGTTAAAGCGAAGCTGTTTTTACTACATGTAATTATCGACGCGTGTCAGGCGGCGAATTTGTTAGATTGTAAAAGTTGTAGTCTATAATGTTACAGAGTATTTCTTAGTCGCGTTGAACAAGGTATCCGATTTCTTTGAACCAACATATACGAGGATCAACGTAAACGTTACCAAGTCTTAACGTTCGTTACGAGACCTTTTATAATATAAATATATATATATATATATATATACACACATTAACTTTTGATGTGATGAATTGTTTGTATACTGTCAATTTTTATAGGATATAATCGAGTCTCGATTTTCGATGGTTGAACGCACGCAATGGAGAAATCGCATGTGGTAATCTTACCAATTCATCGACGAGAACGTCTTCGTGTTCTGTCGGGACATTTTTTCCTAAGCTAATCTCACGCGATCATTAAATCGGAATTGTTAACGAATTTACACATTTAGACATGTAGTTTCCTTCGGATTGTAAACGATTTTGGTGGAGATCATGGGATTCGTTTATGTCACTATATCGTAGTATTCCGTTACACGAGATTTACGAATTATCTTCACTCCTTGCAATTTGATTGTTTAGCAGCATTTTTATAATAGAGATTTATCTTTACTGCAATTGTAAAGCATGTTTTGATTACTAATAAATTTAGTAAATGTAAGAAATATTTAAACAAAAATGATTTAGTTTTTGTTTTTTTTTATGTATGACCACGTATTTATGTATAAACACGTATTTTTATTTAATGAGGTGCATAAAGAATTAAAGGGTAACAAAAGGGTAAACTTAAAACTTATGCATTCTCATGAATTTATTACTGTGAAAATTAATGAAACCATTGCGGTAATAATGCTGGTAGTAATAAATTCACAAATTTGACGCTATTAATTACTTTTATGTCTATATCATAATATCATGGTATACTTTGTATGGTACATTTTGCTCGCGTGATATATACAAAACGTACGTGCTTTTTACATTATTAAATCTATGATGATTAATAAATTATCATTAAAATCTAATAATAGACAATTTGTATGCTACTTCATTCGTAAATTGCCGTTTATATTAAAGATTATGATTTTTCAGAATAATCATTTAGAATTAATGCGTATGCAATCTATGTCGTCTACGATATGGGTGTACGAAGGATTAAATGTTCCTCACAATGATTGAATTTTGTATGACATTTAAAATTTTGTTAAATGTTATATCTACATGGTTTTGAAAGAGATATGTAGCCAGATCGAAATCCGAGCTTGGAAGTATTGCACAATCACGTTGCGTTTGACGATGAAAATATCTTAATCCGAAATATCACCGAAACTGTAATGGATGTTCTCGAGGAACCTGCGGTAATAATGCTAATCGCATAACAGCTTTGTCGTCAATCGATTCTTAGAAATCGCGTAACTCCGTTGCCTTGTAAATATACCTAAGCAAGGTTCCCTTATTGCAACACGTTGAGCATTTTGTAAAGTTTTATAAATAGTTCTACGTAGTTAAACAGCTGGACCAATAAAGTATATATCCGATTGTACGTTACTTCTACATATATATATATATATTCTTGTCTCACCCTATTCTCAGTCGTAATATCTGATTGTCTCATCCAAGTCCACAATTATCACAGATAAGATGTAGTGATGATTAATTAACAAGTAAAACGCAGCTTTCTTTACATAACATTACGTAATAATAGTGTATTTAATTTCTAATTTTGCGTTTAGGCTCCTAGTGACATATTTCAATCGCCACTTTTGACATTGTGCTCATCTCTGCGTACGCCTCTTCACATTAAATTATATATTTAATGTGACTTACGATTACTAAAGATACCTTTTGTTCGCTACACACGAATAAAAGTTACGCAAAGTCAATACGAATGAACATGAAAAGTACACCGTGTAATTTAAATAGTTCCATTATTTATTTAAATTATAAGTATATTTATTCCATCACAAAGAATTATGTTATACTATGCGATAACTGATGATCATCGCAATAGGGACACTTCCCTCTTTCCGAAAATGATACATGATAACATGGTATGTATAAAGGAGAACTCAGTACGAGTAAAAACGCCCGAGAATATACATAGAGGAATAATGCGTGAGATCCTTTAGTAACTAATAATCACCAATTTCTTCATGCTATATAATACAATATGAATATACTGCCCAGTTTCAGAACTTGTGAATTAATATCTGACGTGACGATAGAGCGACGAATTTCTTCCGTCTCTGTTATATCACAACGGGAAATTCGGCTCCGAGTATGGTGCTGACGAGTGAAATCCGGCGTGTTTTATCCTGTATACACATTCGTTGTATTTTAGATGAAAACAAAAAAAGTACAATGCAAAGTGATATATCGACGTCGATCCTAAAGAAATCACGGTAACTAAAAGCTAGCGCAATTTCCACGCTTGACACGTTACAGTTTGCAGGCACGTACTTTCATAGTACCGGATACAATTGTGGTGACCAACGGGTTTTCACATAAAAAATTTATAGACGTTCAAAAACGGACAAATATCTGCGATCTCTGTATCTAATTGCGAGTGGACCCTTTGTTGTGGGGTTGTACTTGTTGCTACGTAACAATATTAATCCGACTCGTTAATGTCCTTGCGTAACAATGTAATATCTTAAAATTTGCTTGTTATTACATTACATTTAAGTACATTCACAAGCGTGGCTCCACGATGAAATTCCGTTGCTTGTCGCCGATTAATAAATTTACAATATAATGTGACACGCTCGTCTCCCGCAAATTTCTATCACTGCGAGAGGGAGTATGTTTGCGATCGCGAGACAGTAAAGTTTCGCGTTCAACTTTCGCCGCCCTTCGAGATTAATCCTTTCCGTACTTATAATAATATATTGTATGTTGGCATTTTTATAAGAGTACAAATAAAAAAATAGCTGACGTTTCGTCCTTTTAGAGTAATAAATTAATATTTTTGAGATTACGTAAAATATCAACTTAATTCAATTCACTTAACCAGGGCTCATAAACAACTTACGAAACCGAATAATAAATCGAACAGCTTGCGTATACATCCCGAAACACTGAAGTTTAAAAATACGTGTGCGTGCGCGTGTGTGCGTTCGTGCGTATTACACAGTAGTCAAGTGACTGATAAAATAATACAATCTACACATTAAAAAATCAAGTATTGCAATTGTGCTGTAAACAATTGTTTACTTCGTATTTAAAATATGTAAGTATATACAATTATAATTTAAATCATTTAAAAAAGTTACAATATATAAAATTGTGAACGAGCTCGGAATTAGTTTTATTCGAAACGTTTGATTACAAGCCCTGATTACCGATTAAGGACGTTCATCGGCTGTAATCGTAGCCAAAAGTTTTCAACGCAACTCTGAGTCTTATATGTATACATCAGCACGCTTTGTGAAAAACGAAGATCGAATAATGTTGCCTTTGTGAATGTATATTGGCCGACACGCTTCGAAGTATCGTCAGATGGAGAATTTCGAATTACAATTACGCATAAACGGTACGGCCACGTATCCCCATCTTGTAATATACAATAATTTCCCTGTAATATATAATATCTTCAGAGGATTGCTTGACCATGTCCGGCAAATTTTTATGTTCAAAATCACGGCGTTTCGACCATTGTTTGTGGTCATTTTCGAGTGATGAATTTGTCAGTAAATCAATAATCAGTGAAGTAAAGGAGCCGGTCATGATTTCACGAACGACAGAACATGACTGACAGTGGTCGAAACGTCGTGATTTTGAACGTTAAAATTTGCCAGACATGGTCAAACAATCCTCTGAAGTTTTTGAATTACTCCTGGCGACTTATATAATTTCCTCCGCCATTTCTAATATCATTATGCATCATAGCTTAGTTTTTTTCAGTAAAATATATAAACAATTTTTGTCACAATAAATTAAAATATCCCTGCAGCACACGTTTCGCGTATACTATACGAGTAAGAGCTTGTGCAGAATGGCTGCCTTATACTCTTAAGACAGCCTTAAGACAATGTTTTATGTTTTAAGCCTTTGTCTTGAGGTAACGCACAATAACTGCTTTATGTCTTAAGAGTACAAGGCAACCATTCTGCTGAGGCCCTTACTTTGATACTGAATATCTCGACTTTGGTACGGACACGGTTTTAAAAATTCAGCAGGCGTATAGATAACACTATTAATATCATATGGTCGAAATTTGAATACATAGAAAAGCGATTTACCGATGAACGTCCTTAACGGTTTCGAGTAGAGAATTGAGCCTTCTCCATTGAGTAAGTAAATATGACGCGGATAAACCTACGCTTATTTATCTGAGTATTTTTGAAATATAAATAATAATTTAATACAGGAATTGAAACTGGTATTATTCCGCCGAGTTCGGATGCCACAGACGCATGAGATTGATCCCTCTGAGTTATTCGCGACGAGTGTAAATGCAAGAGTCGGCGTAAGGGTCTTTTCCAAATATTAGGAACTCGGCCGGTCCAAATATTACTCTGAGATTCGATAATTTAAAGTACTCTAAAACTAGACGGATCGCATATAAGTACACGTTACCACCACGCTGTTTGCTGGCCGTGACTTGGCGCGAGACACGACTGTGTGTGCCTCTTGTTATCTACAGTAACGGGGAATTGAGTTCACCGAAATTATACCCGTTTCATTCCTCGTTTACGTAAGACAATCGCAAGTTTCGTAATATTTTGTTACACATGCATATGTGTTCGCCGCGTCTGTATGTGTATATATTTATTCATTTACTTATTTATATCTATTTCTATATATACACCCACATATGCACATATATGTAACGCACTTATTACGTACGTATCATACATAACATGGCGTTTGTACATTGTGCAAATAATCGAACACTTACGTTGAACTGTTGTACAGGGCGTACCGCGATGCATATAGAATTAAGATACGCAGAAAGTATGTGAGAACACTCGCTGTTCGTATCTCTCTTCTCCCGTCCTCGTGTTTATGGCGAGCGAGTGTAAATGAAATTGTTCTATTAGACGTTAATTAATTCAATAGGCTTTCACTGCTAGGCCGTGGTTTAGTAACCAGACTATGTAAGGCTCGTATTCCGCTCTCCGTTAGATCCGGAGGCCCGAACAGAAAATCCCGTCGAGCGCTCGGATTCGACAACAGGTCCCGCATGCTCTCGGTCGTAAGCACCCAAGAGTGTAATGAGGTTTGCGTTAAATTTACTTTCCTAGCCAGTGTCCCGGTAATGTGCACGTCGTCGATCCAGAAGTACGGCTCCCGCTGGGCCTCGCGGTACAGTATAAATACACTATCGGGGGAATATAGGATCGCCCATCCGGCACAGTACGCGGGATAAAATCTACCGGGATACTCCTGAGGAGAGACGCGCCACTTGGAGCGCCAAGATCTCTTCACTGCGGAAGCCGACAGAAGATCACAGAGAATCAGACGTCTTGCACCCCACGGCGAGAGGCCATGCGTAAGAAAGTCCAGCATGGCAGGTAAATGAACAAAAACATCGTCGTCTAGTTTAAGAATATATTTGGCACCTGAAACAACACACGAGAACAATGTCAAAATCAGTTGTATATTTAATGTACCATCGTGTGGTGGAGATTGGAAAAATGAACGATAAAGATTGTTTTCAAGAAGGACGTTGACGAAGGAAATGACACACTTGATCAAGCCGACATTTAATCAACTCGCTCGGCTGTTGTCGTTAGAAAATGATTCCGGGATTTCTGATACCGAAATATGAAAAGGTGACACGATCGTGAATTGAAAAGAGATGAAATCGAGTTACGTAACCAACAGCAAGAGGGTAGACATAAAATTTAATTTTCTTCTTACTTGGACAATAATAAGTAGCCCACTTTAATCCCATAACGTGCTTGTAGGTCATGTTTCTGTAGGCATCGAGAAAGTTTCCCTGTATTAAGTCTTGGTATTTCTTGTTCTCCTCCTCGAGCATGGATTGATACTTCTCCGAGTATCCCACGAGAAACAATAAAGTCACGTCCGGCGCTTGTTGACCCCAGGTCTCCCGCACGACGTGCCTCTTCGGGAAATTCCCTGGCGCCGAATGAACCAGCATTAGCAGCAACGGCTGCGTACGGTTGCAGGGATTGTGGTTCATGATGAACCTGAAGTCCGTGATGTTGATGAGCGTGGATTTATCATCGGACGGAAGTTCGTTTATCGAGTAGGGCTGCGTGGAGGGCGTGATGTTTCCGGGAAATATAAGGATATATCCTGGCGCGGCCACACCGCCGCTGGAGTAGGGGATCGGCGATCCTGAACCATCGATATGAATCCAAAACGAGAAGCATCCAGTTAGTGCCAAAACGACCACGAAGATGAGGGTGCATGGCGAAGTACCGGAGGCATGTAGCCGCCGCTTATCCAGCATACTAATAAGCCCCTTTCATCATATACATCGGATTCTGCCTGAAAATACAAATAATCACGTTCTCGATTAGCTGGACTTGTTCTCGCATTTGCGGATTGTTACAGTCCTGTGCTGTCCTGCGATATACTTGACACTGCGCTCCCGAATTCATCTCGCGCACATTCTTTGTGGACTGTATCAGTCTTATCGGTCAATTTATCAGTTTTATTTGCCGGCGATATCACCGTTTTATAGGACGCACTTGATCTAATCATGGAAAAGTTTATATTATAAATCTTCAGATTAAAATGCGCTATAAAATTTCTGATCGTAAAACTATACATATTCTTTTACGAACCGAACTTTTCAAGTGCCTCCTAAAATGTGTAGGTGTGCGCTGAATTATATTTATTAATTAATTACACATCTCGCTCATTTGCGACTGCACGTCACGAAATGTAAAAAAGATCAGGCACCGAGGGAGAAACGTCGGATTGTCAGAAATGATTTTCCAACGCGCGTGTGGGGAGGAATCTTACGTGTATTAACTTCTCGTTCACGTTCAAGGAGAGCGAGTTTTAAAAGTTTTATAAACAATAATAATTCCGCTCGCTCGGGGCTCGCGAGCTTGCAAAGTTAACGAGTATTAAGTTCGCAAGAAGTTTCCCACACGAATCAATGGCCAACCACGAGGGATCGTGCACGAGGCGTAACGTACGACTAGCTATCGACACTGACAAGCCCTCCGCTGAAAGTGATTCTGGTATCTGATTCTATAATTCGTTCAGAGATTCTCTGTTACTCGACGAGCATCATTTTATCGATACCTACGTAGATACGCAGCTAGAAGACAATACGCGTGACCAAACCACCAATATATACGCCTACTTTTACACGCTCTGTTGCAGCACAGATAATAACGATATACTTGACGCTTGCAATGTGTGCAAGTTAAGAATTTGACGATAAGTAGACCAATCGAAATCAACAAGGAGTCCGAAAGGGAGTTGATTTAGTGGAAAAAGTATCGAAACAAGAGGAAATGTTTTGCTAAATTATTACAGGTCGGACAACTCACATATGTATGTACAACAGCTGCAGCAGAGTGTATAGAAATTCTTTAGCGATAACGTTGCTTGATAACGGTTGTGTAAACTTAAAATTGAGACTGCATTATATACAGTACACAATTGGCGGTAAAAATATCAAAGCACTCGTATTTCCATCAATAACATCAGAAATTCGTAATAATTATTTATTTCCAATTACTTATTTCTACAATTGTGACAGCGCAGTTAGGACAGCGTCCCAATTTGTATCCGGCTAGATTAATGTAGAGGAAAGTCCTTTATTATGAGATAGCAGGTTTTCAACACCCAAATTCAACCACAAATCTTTTTTCGCAACGATTACACAACATAAGAATGAATTTTCCACTAGACAGACTTCGCTTCAAAGGCAATAAATTCACGGTGGAATCAGCTGACGATTAATTAAACAGAAACCCCGCTATCCCATATTAGGATCCTATCTCGTAATAAAGGACTTCTGCCAATAGTAGCGGCGCACACTTAAGTTACACGCGCGGGGAGCTTGCGCAAGTTAAATTGTAAAATCGAATTAAATTGCGGAGCCAATTTTACTTGGAAACCGCGGGGGCGGGCGCGCGCAACAATATTCGTATAAATTGCAAAATTAACGCCGTAGGGGAAATCGATAAAAGTTTCCTTTTAACAACTGGCTTAGCGAGCCACCGCAACAATGATACACTCGTAGACCTCCGGGAGAACTAATTCCACGCGCAAACAGGCGACAACTGTTGGTTACACACGGCTTTCCCGCTCGCTCTCGCAATCCGCCCGACGAATACAGACGGCATTATGCCATTCAATTTAAATGCGGGATATTATCTGATAACGATAGCATTAATGCCCAATTAAAATATTATTAATCTAAAAATATTTTATCTGGAATTTAAAAGAAAGAAGCGATACATCGTCGTACCGAATTAGTCGTTCACCCAATTACATCGTCGTCACGTTAAAAGTTTGCGTTGCAGCAACTCTCCGTTAAGTCACGCGAAGTGTAAAGGCCGAGTCAGACCAGCAATTGCCGACTGGGATTGGGTTGGGATTGGCGAGCGACGATTGTCCTCTACCCAATGAGAGTCGATTAAATCGCTGCTTCGCTCTCATTGGCTAGAAGACAATCGCCGATCCAATCATAGACGTATAATACAGTACCGGCCAATAATACATCACCTTTCGATTTTTTGAACATAACTAATTTTAAAGTGCGCGAATGAAAAATTCGAAAATCATGATGTAATTTGTTAAATTTTATCGCCCTTCGTGTACAACACGTACCGGTTATCAGGTGTCTACTGTAAAATGTTAAGCACGTTCGGTGCACTTCGACGAAGGTTACGCTCAGAAAACGTAAAGGTGATATACTTTTGGCCGGTACTGTATATAGACTGTGCATTTTGGCTGGAGAAGTGTACAAACTTTAGAAGGAGCCAAAACATACTTTGAACAGTACCGTCTTATCCTTTATCCTCTATCATTCCCCTACTCTTCTGTTACCCCCGCTACTTCACTAGACAAAGTTGAGGCTATACTGTTCTAGAGACCCTGTAATCCGAGACTGGCCATAAGAGTTCGTCAAATTCCCGCGAGTGAAAGAGAAACATAGGCTATCTCGCTCTTCTACAATTCTACGATCGACCAGGAATTTGACGCACTCTTATGGCCGGACTCCGATTACAGGGTCTCTATACTGTTCAACACCAGCTATCTCGTTCTAAAGTTTGTACAATGTTTTCACACGGGCGAGGTGAGGTAGGGAGAGAACGCGCAGTCTATTCTTGCTATGTCTAGGAATCCAATACGCGTCGACAATTGCTGGTCTGATACGGCCTTAACGCACGTCTGTCTTTGTATCGGCTCGTTTATCATCTCTCGACTTTCTTCATTTCTGAAATGTCCCCGATAGACGCTGCAGTCCCACCTTTGCCAAAGTCGATGGACGAATAAGACGGCATTGTTACAATCAGCTTTTGTGTGTTTTTTTTATAATGGCTTGATGACAAACGCGGAGCACGAGTTGTGACGAGACCTGACGTGCTCCGTGCGGCAACTGTAATTTCGAGGCAACTCGTACTATACATTTTTCAGCTGTACGTCAAGGGCACGAGAAGTTCATGAACGAATAGCGACGGTCGATTAGCACGTAATGAATTCATTATTTCGCATCGTCGTAAGTAGCGGACTGGTGTCTATTAGAACTGGGGCGGTGTGTCATTAAGACTAAAAAGCCGCGCGATCGATTTGCTGTTCGAGTTCAGCCAAGGTCAGCCCGAGCACTGTACGTCAAACCTAGACAAACATCGTTTGTAGATTAATTTTTCAATTTCTAATGGCGAAATAAGGCTCTAGTGTCTGCTCCTCTGTTACGTGCCTGTCTACGTGTACCTACGTGTGTGTGCGTGTGCGCGCGCGCGCGCGCGCGCGTGCCTATATGCTCCACCATCTCTTACGTAGACGCGGTTCTATATCGGAGGAGAATTAAGCCCCAGCCAATAGACCGAAAACACTTTAAAGTGTCTATTTCCAACGTCTCCTCCGTCTTGTCACGTGCGCGAGACCGAAATCGAATATCAAGAATGCACGTAGAATGCTAATGCCCGGGGGATGACGGGTCGGATAATATCGGTCAATATCGCCCGTATGCGCCGCTACGTTTCCTAAGCAGATCCTCGACAATCTGCATAAGCTACGAGCAAGAAACCTCATGTTTAATCGAGATAATCCACCTCGTGCGGCTCGTGTTGCCGTAACGTAGGTTGCACACCGTGCGATATCGAAGATAGAGCGTCTTCAGCTCGGGGGGCGCAGCTACTCGCGTTTTTATAATTATCTTCTTGTTAACCCGGGCGGGGATCGCGCGTTAATCTTCATTCGAAGCGTCAAAGAGATAAAGACAAAAAATTGAATCCGCTTCCGGTGCGACGAGGGGCGGAAAAAAAATCACGCAACGAACACGCGACAAAATAAATTCGGACGTCGCTCGTCCATTCATTATCCGTTTCGTGGATCGATCGGTCGCCATCCACGCAGGACAGCACAAAAAGGTAAGATAATTACCGGGCGAATGTAAATTTATTTTATCGTCAGTCGACGTACGCTGCATTAATTTGACCTCTTTTTTTTTATCAAATACGGAGAACAACGCTCGTCGCTCGAGGACCGAGGTCTATAGGAGTATCGCGATTGCAGCTAATCGCGGTTGCGACCTCGGAATAACTTTGTCTTCCTCTCTTGGCCTCGTTTACAAATATCAGCGAGCGATTAGACGACTTCCAGGCGATTAGGCCACTAAGTACTGCGCGGCGTATGCACATGCGGTCAGTTTACGCTCTAATATTCGTGGGGCAAGCATTCGACTTTCGCGTTCGCGCGGCCAAATCGTTCCAGCCGGCGAGGAACGATCGGGAAAATTATGCGAGTGCGATTTCGTTATCGTTACGACTGTGCGGCCGCGTATCGTAATTCGAGACAGTTTTCGCGGGCCTCAGTCAGTTTCTGATAAGCGCCCGGTGTTACGCCCCGGCTCGAGACGGGGATTTTATAGTAATATAGCTATTCCTACCGCTAGAATAAACGGAGCGCTGTGCACACAAGGGCTGATTGGCCCGATCCCTGAATCATCGGTTCCGGAGCCGGCGTTATCGATCGCGCGAGTTCATCATGCCCCGACACATATTAGGCCGCCGTTAACGCCTCAAAATTGATGAGCTTTTTCTGAAATTCTATCACGTAAGTTTAGCACGAGGCGCGCCCAGCTACACTGAGAATCGAAAAACAGTTAGTCCCTGAATTTTTGTTCATTCTCAATATTTTAATCTTAATACGCAAATGAGTGATGTGCAATTCCGTAACCATTACTGTTGACCACCAGCATTAAAATAATATGTAAATAATATGTAGCCTATAACAGTAGGGTAAAAAACATATATAGTTAGCTCAGCGTTAGCGTACTAGGCTAGTGATCCGAAATC